GATTGTCAGATTGTGTCATCCTTGTAGGTTTCTGGAGATCTCCCTGGTTCCAGATCTCTTCTCGGACCTATAGTTGCTCCCTCTGATATGGTATCTCTCACCCTGCTCGCCCTCCTCTATTCTTCCCCCAACTCAATATTTCTGCCCCTCCATTTCCTCTCCTCTACTCCTCTTCTCTTGCTCTTATTGTAGCAGCTCCCTCCCCCCTACCCTCATGCTCCCAATTAGTTCAGGAGTTCATGCCACTTCCATTCCTGGGGACCATTTATCCCTTAGAGTCCTTCATGTTTCCTAGTTTCTTTGGTGAAGAGGATTGTAGGCTGGTAATCATTTGCTCTAGGTCTAAAATTCATATGAGTGAGTACATATCATGATTGTCTTTTTTGACTGGGTTACCTTAGTCAGGATGGTTTCTTCTAGTTCCATCCATTTGCCTGTGAATTTCAAGATTCCATTGCTTTTTTCTGCTGAGTAGCACTCCATTGTATAAATGTACCACATTTTCCTGCTTAAGTTAGTAAAATGCAGGCTCGCCATACTTTTGTACCATTATTTTTCCCCAAAATCAGATGAAATAATGAAAGTGATAAATGGATAGCCTTTATTCATCAGTGATGGTGAAGAAGTCAAGGATTAGTGAATGAGCAACAAGCAGAAATTTTGTACTAATGTTCAAAAAACTGGTAGAATAATTTATAGGGAATTTTGCTATTTTTAATCAAATTAAAGCTATATGGGTGAAAATTTAAGATATATTGATCAAATTTTTATTAAAAATGAATATCCAGATGGCAAAGTCATATATGTATGCATATGTTAGCACTGGTTGAAATTTGGGCCAGGTGCTTTCAGATACGAACCAATAGGCCTCTTATCCACAGAGCTGAAATAATAGCTTGCACAATTATAGGGTAGCAATGGGACATTGTTCAAAGCAAAGTTATAATATGGATCATAAAGAAATGTGCTGTCAAGTGTGGCGGCAGACCACACAAGTGAAGGCACTCAAAGGACCGGGTGATTTTTTGGGTTGGGATTCACAAATGAGAAAGCACAAGCAGTTCTCTATTTTGATAAACAGGCTTAGATTCTGTAAACATATGCATGCCCAATTACTTATACACATAGATAGTAAATAGAGAATTCTCATGATAAATGCACTCAGAAGACACCATTAGCCTTTACTGCCCATGCCCCACATTGTATGTAAGTCTGTGCCATCTCCCATCCTGCACTCGGATGTAACTAGAATATGAATGAATAAGATCTCTCTGTGTTTGATGGTGATGAAGAGGAAGAAACGTATTCTGTTGTTAAGAGTAGAGAGTGTCAGTAGCTTAATTCAGGGGGAGATCTTGCATTGCCAGTGGGTACCTATGTGCATTGTTCAGAGAGGGTTGTGTGCAGGTAATACCTGTGGGAAAGAGCCTCAGGCTTCCAAATGCGTTATTACAAGAGGGGTTTGTAAACAGCCCAAACCAAGTGGAGCCCCTAACTTCTGAGCTATTACCTGTGTTTGTGCGTCTTACATCCTTTTTTCTTAAAAAAAAAAAAAAACCTAGTTTCTATAGAAATGACTATATTTATAATAAGTAGATACAGGTCATCACAAAAATACCTAGTGTTTACTTAAAGGTAGTCAGGACTTTTAAAGAAAAAAGTCATGTTATAAAAATGAATTCCAGGGGGCTAGCAGTGTAGCTCAGTGGGAGAGCATGTGCTTAGCATGCCAGAGGCACTGAATTCAATTCAGAAACAGCAACAAAGAATCCAAAGCTTTTGTTCCTCTAGGTAGACTGGTTTTAGACTTAATTATATTGTTTGTTTATCTCAAATTATTTTGTGTACTTAAATATATAATAATTGTAAATATTCGAAAACCCAGTATCCTCATCCATTTTTTTTTTTTACTATAGGGGATTGATTCCCCAATTGGCATTTGTTTTTCTTTAGCCAGTAATACTCCCATACCAAGTTGAATAAGATAGATTCCACCTGTTGTAGCTTGAAGCCCGGCCAGAGTACCAAGTCATTATATGAACACCGTTTAAATGAATTTGTAATGTGATTTTTTTCTTTAAAATTTAAACCATAATAAGCTGAGCAGGCAAGTCAGGAGAGACACAGGGAGGCAAAGCTGGGCTTTCTGAGGACTGGGGTGGTGGTGACAGGGTCATCAAGAAGCTTTGCCAACAGGCAGATCATCTGAAAGCAACAGGAATGGAGAGAGATGGATTCAAGTATTAAAAACAAAGCAGGCTTGACAATTATATCTGAGGAATGAGCACGAGAGTGTAGGGTGTGAGCTTGATTTCTAGATTGAGTGACAAGACAGTGTTGTTTGGGTCTGAGGTGGGGAATGCCAAAGAGGAGTTAGGGAGGGTCCTGCATCCAGTGTTTGATGTGCTAAATTTCAGATGCCTGTGGGATATCCAAGCGGGTTTGTCACACAGGCATTTGACTGTTAGATCTGCATTAGGATAAACTAAGGTTATGGCTCTAGGAATCATCACCGTGAAGGATCTGAAGCCCACAAATACAAGAGATCATGAAGAGAACAGAAAACTCTGAACATGAGTGTAAAATCCCACATAAAGTGTATTTGAAGGTTCTAAGGGTAAAGAAGAAGCAATAAGCAAGACCAAGAATAACCAATAATAGTGGCTGAAGATGAAGAAAAGCAATATAATCTGAGTTTCAACTTGTAATAACAAATACCTGTAAAATTCAAGAGACTTCACTTTCAAATTAACAGCACCTGGGATTTACTCAGCATTTTTTACAATCTAACATTTAATGACTTTCCCTCATCATTTGGTGATAATAAGAGAAATAATTAAATATAATAGGTAAGATGCTGAAAGCTGCATGTTATAGACATCTGAAGCCAACAACATAACCATGTGTTTTCTGAAAAGACACAAAGCTACTCTCAACAGACTTGTAGTTTTATTTATAAAGTTTAAATATGTAAAAGGTAAATTTTCTGCTTGCAAATGTTGTTATCACCCATGTGTGATAGTTTGGCAATATGGGGTTTCAGTAATAAGAAGGTTTGTTTGTTTGTTTGTTTGCTTGCTTGCTTTAATCTCTCCCTGACTCAGAGCTTCCATTTCTTTTGGGAATCAGGTCCAAAAATAAACCAAACCATGAAGAGCCATTTATCATCATTGACAGACCGATGGACTAACTTTGCAGGAGCTCAAATGACTTAAATTTGTTTGGTTTCATCACTGAAATGAGGATCAATTATCACTACATTCTTTCATGGCAGATGCACTGGATATAGAGTGCTAACATGTGTTCCGTTTTCCTCACAGGGTTCCATAGGGATACAAGGCCCCCAAGGTCCACCCGGAAAAGAAGGTCAAAGGGTAAGTAAACTAGTAACAGCTGAAAGAGTTTGCTAACTCAGAGGATAATTATTTTTGAGCACTAATAAAATTAAAAAAAATATAGCAAACAGGTGCACATAGGGTAGCAACTAGCAAAGGCAGACTGTAAGATTAGAGATTTTGACAGAAATTTAACAACAGAAAAGTCTAATATATTTTCAAAATTGGCAGCACACACGTACAGACAATTATTTGTATAAACTCAATTAGCGCTAATTTGGTCTAAAATACTTTGACCATAGTTTTAATCTTTAAGTTAATGAGTATTTTGGTAGAAGTCCAGCCTAGTCACACATTCTCTAAAAACTGGATATTACTGTGCTCTTGACCCAAAATAGCTAATTGGCATATGTGATTCTTTGTGCCTCTAATTTAATTACTATTTATTGATTTCAACCAAGATGAAGCAGGCAATAAATGAGTATCAGTTGTAACTGGAAATGCCACAATAACTCTATCTCTGGCCAGAGCAAAGTCTCTGTGTCTCCAACAAAGGGAATCCTTTAAGGGTCCTGGCAACCCATCTGCTCCACTGGGACTCTTGACACACGATCCTTGGGTCATTTTGCACTGTCTTCCATTGATTCTGGGGCTCACATGTTTTTACATGCCTTCTCGTGTGCTTGCTTATCAAGTCTTTGTGCTACATGAAGCAGGTATTATCAATGCTACAGCAGTGTGGATGAGTGTTCTGTAACATGATTTTAAATGACTTGGTTTTGGCTGCTGAAGTCATGGTCATGTTTTCTCTTGTTGTCCCGGTGTATTTTAAATCATCCTTATTTGTTCATTAATCTCACTTCTACCCTCTGTGAAATAAATCAAATCCTTCAAATTACCAGTGTACTTGAAATATCTGAAGACAATTTATTAAGGTTTGCCTTTTGGGAGTTAATAAAGAACCAATTCTCTTGATATTTTTTCCTTCATTTTATGTATTGCTAAGCCCACTGCAGGCTGGTAGTTTGTCCCAGGAAACACTAACTGACCTCCTCAAGCTATCAAGAATGGGACTAGAAAAGTATAATCTTATTAGGGTGCAGTGCAATGTGTCAGGTAAGCCCAGTATCTTATACAGTAGACTCCCCCCCCCACTTCATCCTAAGATGCTTTAAATCTTGGATGACACTTTGAGATGGCACTGGCATGTGCTCAGGTAAACACTGCCCTCTTTTGTTTGAATGAAACATCTGCCCAGTAATGTTCTCCCTGTTGTATGGTTGTCTTCTTATAATTGCTGTGTTGGAACAATCCTTGTTAAATTTCATCTTCTGGATTTTAGTCTCTAATCCTTTATTATCGGAACATCAGTTTTGTTGTTGTTTTAGAGTATACAAATCATGTTTTCAAGTCAAACAGGCTCATCGTTCTATTACTGAAATCATTAATAAATTCTAAATAGAAAAGGACCTGCCAACCCAGGTAACACCAGCATAGCCTACATAGCCTGGCATATTTTCATGGGCTTGGGACATGCCAATCAAAGCACATGCAAATGTATGTGGATTCTGCTTCCTTCTCACCCACATGCCTTAATTTGGTTTGCAAGATGATTATGAGCGACTTGTCAGGTACTAAAATGAGAAATGAGGGTTTTTAAAAAAAAATATATACTTCAAACTGAATTTGTGTCTTATCAAAACTTTCATTTCCAAAAAAGATAGGTAGGTCAAAGGACAAATGAAGCTGATGTATTTTTCATAATTGCAGAGGCAATTATTTCAACTATATAGCTCAATCACTATTTTGATTCAAATACGCTTATCAATGTGTGCATTCCATAATATTTCCTATTACTTTCTTTTTATGTTCTGTGAAGAGCAACAGGGTCAGAGAGCAGATAATGAAACAGGATTTTTATAGTCACTGTTGTGTATAGCTTGTCCCTGTTGCTACTTCTCTTTCAAAATTGCCATGCTTTTCAAAGAAAGTAAGTGGCATTATCCATAATTAAAAATAATTTCTGAATAAGTCCAATAATGTTTCTTCTGTTATATAAGCTACTTAAACAGGAAGTGAATTAATACAAGGAGGGCACTCTTGTAGATTTATGTTTATATGTGTCACCATTTCTCCTCTTCACGAGAGTCAGGTATAACTCAACCTGAAAACTCATTAACCATATGGATGAGTGAGGTGGAGGTATGTCTGAATGCATGTGCACACACATACATCGCACACACATACACACATACATCGCACACAAACACAAATGCATAAGCATACTTACAAACATGCACACATATGTTCAGATATTAAGACTAGTAAGTATTCTATTTCATTGAATTTTGAAATAGAATACTATAGAATACTATAGGAAAATCCTTGACTATAAAAAAATATATTGATCCACTGTCAACAAATGTGTAAATCTGATTGCAGGTGTTTGACTCTTATTAAGATTGTTAAGATAGAGTATAAAACACATGGCAAGGGCCCAGGACTTAACTTCTAGGCACAATGTCTGTAAAGAGAAACATTTAATGGTAGATGAGTCATTAACTTCTTAGATTTCCTCTGTGATTACATGCATAACAATATCTCACATTAAGATAAGTTTAAAACACAAGTCTCACACAGAGCCATAATTTGAAAACTGCCAAATATTACAGATGCATGTATGTATTGCTACAGTTATTTTTATTAAGACACTGGTGTGTGTGTATTATAAAGAATTCTATTTATTCAGTGACAATACTGCTTTTATGGGTACTTAAATAGAACTGTGTTTGAATTTTTAATTAGTTGATTTTATTTGTCCTTTAAGCTGTTAGACATTAGCTTACAAACTATTCATTTAATAAACTATAAATTTTATGTTCTTATACTTAAAGACTAATTTTAACTTCAACACTATTTTATGGCAATGTGTATCTGAGATGTAGGGGGATGTTTTCTTAACCTGATTTTCATCTTTGTTTTATGCCATCAATTTTCAAAAATCTTGTAAGTGCCAGGAGTTGGTGACATTCACCTTTAATCCGAGTACTCAGAAGGCAGAGACAGGTGGATCTCTGTGAGTTCAAGGCCAGCCTGGTCTACAGAGCAAGTTCCAGAACAGGTTCCAAAGCAATACAGAGAAAGCCTGTCTTGAAAGGCAAAACAAAACCAAAACAAAAAACAAAAACAAAAAATCTTGTAAGTAAAATATTTGACTAGCATTTTCATCTTATAAACTTTATTAATCAGTGCACGTTTTAGAATTTAGCTAATAAATATTGACCGGATGCTATGAATATAGTGTGTCTGAGAGGAGTGAGGTAACCTGTGTGGAGGCCTGGAGGGTGTTCATCCCTTGACGAGAACAGCATAGGGAGTAAGAAGGTTCCCAAGAACAGCAGAACCAAGAAGTCAAAAGGAGAGCACTTGAACATTTAGGGAGAATTCAGTAGTATTAAAACTCACATCAGGGTCTGGAAAGATGTCTCAATAGTTAATAGGTCTTTCTGTCTCACAGCCGTCCAGTAGTCAGTTCCCAGTACCCACATGATGGCTCACCATAGTGCAACTCCAGATCCAGGGGTTTGGAGCCCTCTACAGCCCTCTCAGGTCTCTATAGGCTCCTGAACACACATGATACATACAAAAGTTACACAGGTGCATGTGTGTTCATGAGAAATTCGTTAAGAGAAAGAGGCGGAATCAGTGTCAGTTGAGGAAGGAATTTTAATTGGTCAAAGGACATGGCATTAGAAGAGGAAATGGAAGAGATAAGGAAATGGAATAGATGGGGTAAGGAAATTAGAGGAGTCATTTTGAGGAAGCAGAAGCAGCAATGAGGACTGGAACCAAATGGAAGCCCCAAGAAGCTTCTAAAGAAATGACATACTTCAGGTGGCACGTCACGAGTTCATAGATACCAACATGAAGTACCTCAAGCGAGCTAAATTTGATAAAGATCCCTTCTGAGAGGCAGATTCCCTGAGGAGTTCTTTATAAATGGAACCTTTCAAAGTACAAAGAGAACAGTAATTCTTTAATGTAACCTTCTACTTTTCTTATACACACATTGAATACATGTCTGAACAGTATCATTTAAATGTGAAACTAACATGATTCTTTATAAAAGAAATCATCCTAAGTCTAAAAAAAAGAACATTTGTTAGTGAGTCAGCTAGTTTCCATGCTCAAATGCACTTTGTATGGCTAGACAAAGAGGACATCTCATTCTTCCTGTCTGTTACTGGAATCTAATTTTAATACTGAACAGAAACACTCTCAATTTTCTTATAACTTTCCCCCATACCCTTAGTCATATTCTCAGGTTATCCTGTGTACCTGTGCCTGCCCTCAGGCTTGGAAAGTTTTGTCTTGCTTGCTTCCTTTGACATTGTAGTGCAGATTTGACTTTCCCTCACCAAGCTAGATCCCAGCCCAGTCTAGCACAGGGACCTGGAGCTGCTCACACCCCACCCTGTTGCACTTGCCCAGATTTGGTGGCAAAGGAACAAGATCATATTTCCTCCACGATGCTGGAGCCAGAAAAATTATGGCAAGTCGAGGAGTGGGCAAGTCAGCCCACTTCTCATGCCACAGGCAAGACAATGTTTAGTGTAGAGTCACATGAGCTCTGAGTTCAGATGGATGGAATTTAAATCCTGGCTTTGCCACTATGGGGCTGTGTGATCACAAATGAGTTCCTCTCTGTACCTGTTACCTCATTTAGAAAATGTAGATGATACTACTACTTACCAGAGGCTTCTTATGAGGAATACAAGAAATCACCATCATTCTCCTCTCCGGCCTGGAGATCCAGACATGTTGGTGAAAGGGAAGGCAGGGTACTGCACCTATCAGAACTTGATTAGTGATACTATGTAACTGATCAAGAGAAGTCATTTAAGAAAATTACTTTTCACTACTACTTCACTGAACCCCTACACTTCACCTTCACTTGAATTCTTACTTTATCTGGATGTCTGTGCCCATGTTTCACAGCCCCGTGATAAAGACCAACATTTATGTAGCTTGATAAGAAA